GCTCCGCTCCCCTCTCCTCCCCTCCCCTCAGGCTGCGGCACCGCCCGCGCCGCGTCCCCCACCCCGCTGGGTGGGCGGTTCCTGCTGCCGGGGTAGCTGCCGGGGTTTCTCCCGGTTAACCCCCTAAAGGGTCGGGTACTGGCCGTGGGTGCCCTTGCCCGGTTGCTAAAGCCGCAGAGCTAAGCGTTCCCCTCACTTCCCTCCCCCAGTTAAGTGAAATAAGTGTGCAGCGACGCCCAACGCAGCAGTTAACCTGCCCTCAGAGCCCTGGCCCCGCGTGCTGCTGAGGTGGCCTGGCCGCGCCCTCCAACAGGCAAACGCGCTCCAGCCTTTGCCCGCCTTGTTATGCTATGCCTTGCCCGCGACCTCTGCCACCCAAAGGTAGATTAAATATCCAAATTAATGGACTGTGTGACAGTTTGATGTGCCTCTGATGGATAAAACTGATCTAAGGGCAGGCGAGATCATTGCTGAGGCGTGGCGGTAATGTGGAATCAGGTGCTTTCTTTGCCTAACTCTGTTATGAAGTGTGGCCTACGTGGCTGTGTGCTTTGTCTGCTAGTTCTCATCCTGGATGACTTTAAGTGATTTAGGCAATTTTAACTAAATTTGGCTGAAGGATAGTGTTTTCAAAGGTACTGATTGTTCCAGCTGTGTAGAAATTATTAGCTTGGTGGAAGGAAGCACATCCCCAAGAAGAAAAACTCATGTTTTTCACTTCAGTTGGTGAGTCAGGCCACACACATGGAATACAGCTTGTTTACACACACACACACACAACAGTAGAGGGGTAATAGCATCTGAAACTTAAGAGACTCCCTGGGGGATGGGTGGACAGATCATAGATGTGCCTCCTGAACTCAAAACCAAAACGAAAATGTGTCATCACAATAGCCTTAAAATAGATATTCCCCATCTGCTTACTGCAGTGTTCTTGGAAGCCTTCTGCAGAATCTGAAACTCAACATATTCCACAGGCTACTATTCTATCAGGCTGAACTTGGCTGTGATCCTGTAGGGCAGTTGCTCTTCTAACCACAGGCGCTACAAAGAGCAAGGAAAGTCTGAATGTATCAGAAAGGGATAGATACACATACTACTCAACAAAGTCTTCTTGTTATTTTCTAGTATTTGCTCCGTTCCTTCTGGGCAGAGAGGGTGGGTGAACACCACACAACCTTGAGAACAGGAAAATGTAAATAACTGTTATGGCAGATATTTCAAGGGCAATGCAGTTTCTCACAAAGCAGCCCTAATTTACCAACAGATGACAAATATAAATTACACAGTATTTTACTTTTTAAATTCATACCTATTATTTTTTGTATCTTATTAGTTCTGTTGTACCATAGTGTCAAAAAATTCAGTTCATTTTGCTTTGTTTTCATTACTTTCATTGCACAAAAGTGCCACATATAAAATACCATATTAACAAGTTAATATTCACTATAGCTCCATTAAGAGTGTCCCTATAGAATGAGCACTGTGTTTGCTTCCAGCTGGCTTACACATCTGAGATGACAAGAAAGGTGTTTAGGGTTTGTAGGACGTTTCTTATTGTAACTTCAACAGCATTGTTTCATTTTGTTATTACTTAATATTTAATAGGCTGCGGGGAAAATGCTACATCAGAAGAGAGCTTTCCAAATTAATTAAACCCGTCTTATTGTATATACTCAGTTCTTGAGTAAAATTGGTTTGGGGGGGAGGGGGTTGGGGTGTTTAATTTTTTTAATTCAGAGTACTTTTATTTGGAACACTCCAGAAATGTTCTTTGCAGTCTTATCTGTAAGAGGAATTTGTGGAATATCATGGTGGTTGTCAGAATGAAAGAGTTCACTTCTTTAATGGAAAGTTTAGCTGAAAAATTGTGACTGCAAGGTACAGAAATAGTAATGGCTCTGTCCAGGTTTCCTGTGGTGCGAAGGATAGTAACACACACTGAAGGCACCCCAAGACTGGGATCTGTTTCTTAAGAATGCTGCAGTAGTGACAGTATTAGAATCTCACACTCAGTTCATAGTACTTAGTACATCGCTTGCTTGCCAGATCATAAACTCCAGGTTGTAATTATCAAATTAATAGTCTCTTAAAGTTTTAAAGATTCTGTATTACCTAAAGTTATCTTCCCCCTAGCCCAAACGCATATGTATATAAATAAAACAATAAAATCTCCATATCTGGCTCCTGTGTTTCTGACTAATTTTTATAATGAGGCTCTGACTCATTTTTTTAAAATCTTCCCGGTCAAATGAGAACAAAATTCCTTCACAAAGATGATTCATTTACTGCTAAGGAGGTATATGAAAGTGGCCATTAGGGGGTGATGTTCCTAAAACCAAACTACTCCAAAATGAATAAAATAGTTTCTATGCATGATTTTTCTCTTTTTTAAATCGCAGTGTGTGAGTTTTATGTTCAGCATATTCGTTTGAATTATCCTCATCTATGCCAGTGTAAGAACAGAACTTGGCTCTCCACAACTTAATGCAATGAGAAGTAAAAAGTCATATTAGAAAAAGGAAATGAATAGACGTTATTTGCATAAAGTCTGCACTAAGTTAAAAGCTAAAGCAGGAAGGAAGTTACCACCACTATGCTAAATGGGAGTGCTTCAGTGACATGTGCTTGCTTTTAAGAAAATCAGAACTCTTCAGATTAGTACTAGGAATAATTACCATGTTTATTTTGTGTTTACCTGAATTTTTCAAAATCCACGAAGGTGAGTGATCAGCTTTTAAAATGGCCTGTTATTTATTCCAAAGTCCAATTGCAATTGAAAAGCTGGCACGTGCTTTCCTAAAAGCAATCGTTAGGATGCTGTACTCATGTGGACTTTGCAAAGCGCATAGATTTTTTTTTTTAGATTGTTAACTGACAGAATTCATTATATGTGGTAATTTGAAAAGAGTTTGTCATTCATTTCTGTACACTGCAAAACTTTCAGTTATCTATTTGCATGCAACTGTACTTTTACTACCTACATCATTAAGAGAGTACGTAATGTCTGTATGTTGTTTTATAGCAGGTACCCATGTCTTAACTTTTTTTTTAAAGGTTTCTATACTTAAATGCCTATAAAACTTTGCACAATTACTGTCTGGTATGAGACGCTCTCTGTGAAAGAGATCTGCAGTGCTAACCTGACAAAAAGTAGAGCGGAAGAGGTGTGTGCAACTGAGTGAAACAAATCTTTTAACAAACACCAAATACATCATGGGCATCCTAAAGGTCAATACTGGATTTCAGGATGAATGCAAAATACACGTGTGTAAGTTATGCATTCAGTGCTTTCTTAAAAATCCATAAATAAATTCATATTAAAATAGTTTTCTCACACCCATTCCTAAGTAAGCTTTTGAATAGATAAATGTTAGAATAAAAAGCAACCCTCTGACAAATGCTGTGTGTTCCCAGGGACCATGAAATAAATTATTTATGAAGTATAATGTTCTGAAAAAAAATTAATATCAAAATATATCCAGTTTAGGTTACTTATGCTTGCCTTTCTATTTTTGTTAACCAAAAAGAAGAAACATGACAGTAATTTGAATATAAAAGATAGTTTTTTATAGTTTATGACTGAACAAACTTGCTAAGCTCTCAGAAGTTTCAAATATCATCTAGCTGAAGAGTTACTTTAATATGCTGGAATAATTAATGTTTTACCTCCATGCAGGAATAATCGAAGTATTTGCTATCACAGACTATGCAAATAAACAATGATATAACCATCACCAAAAGGAAACATTGACCTTACTGTCAAATATCAAAGAAAAGTTGCATTTTTCTTATGGTAACTTTCCTAGATTGCTCGTATTGAAAATGCTTCATGCTGCAATAGCACGAGCACTCCCATTCTCCTGTCTGCATATGACCTTAATCACAGTGTGTCTAAATAATACTGCAAAGTAGATGGGCAGAATACAGCACAGAATTATATTTGGAAAATTTGAATCATTGTCGTATTTTGGATGTTCTAAAAACTATATGACTATACAACAGACTGTATAACAAGGTCTCAATCACCTGAGAAAGTAAATATGTTGAACTATTTATTTTGAAAATTCCAAGGAATTTGTGTCTCTGGTTCATTGAAAACCTTCTTTTGGAAACTGGTTTTATTTCAGATTTTGTGGCAAACCTAAAATGTACAGAATTTGCTGTAGATGTTTCAAATTGCTGGTTACCCCATGAGGCTTCACTACATAGAGTTGTTGATGGGAATCTCTGAGGTGTGAAACATAGTCACTGTGTCTTCCTCTGTGAGGGGTTCCTAAATGAGTGGCAGAGACCTCCTAATTCCAAGGGGTTTCTAAGATCACATTAACATTGTGTGTACTTCAGGGTTCTGATATAACCTCTGAAATGGCAGGCAAGCAAAGGATACAGATAGAAGCAACTGAAATTTGGATGTTTTATCTCAGGGGAAGTTCCAGAATTTATTTCATTCCAGAGAAGGAATAAAAAAGGAAATTTCTCATTAAACAGAAATTTAGGGGGAAATCAACTTGCAAAAACCCAAGCCTTTAAAAATATGTCAGAAGAATATATTTCAGCATTGCTAAAACTGGAATATTTCCTTTATACTTGTTAAGCAACTCGCTTGTTTGGTTACGAGTCATTGAACCCTTAAAACACATTGCTGTAGAGCAGGAGGTTGTTGTTTTGGAGTCTGATGCTCTGGATGCCAGTCCTGTCCTCTGGGTCCAGCTACTTGATGGAATGTACCTCCTTTAATCTATCTGTTGTGCATTCTCCAGCTTGTACTGTAGGGCTTGTGTTGCTACAATATTATGTGATAAAAACCGCAATTTTACATCCTGCTGATTTGATTCAAAACAGAGTACTGCAAATCAAATGAAAAAAAAAAAAAAAAGTCAAGCCAATCCAAAAATGAAATATTTGTGGTTTTCTTAACGGGAATAAAGTTTTTTACACTTTCAGATCTTCCCTGGGAATGACTTCATTTTGATGGAATTGGATTTTCTATGGAAAAACACTTTGTAAATTTAATAATCACAGAACTTCCTAACATTAAGCATGCAGGTTACAGGTCTTTGAATATGAAGCGGTTTCCTAGAGATGCTTTGCATGGTTTCATCTCAGTGATCCTCTTCACTTTTCAGGCCTTCAGATTTCACAAAACCCTTTTGGATTTCTCAGTAGAGATCTTCCAAGAGGATGGTAAGCACTCTCCCTGACAGGATAGCATGCAAACATCTTCCATTCAGATAACGTGCCTTTTACATGTCTACTCTGTGCCTCACAGGCAGCTCTGGAGCCTGTTTAGCCATGTGTTGTGTCCAAAATGGACTTCATGGCGCTGACACAGACCACTGGCACAGCACAGTCCCAAGTCTGTGTACAAATTCCTTGGTGAAAGGGGTGTGGTGGGGAATTACCATTAACTGACCTTGAAAGCTGTAGCGGTGGTTCTAGACTGAGCCACTGCTGGTGGTTCTAGACTTCTAGACTGTGCCCAGAAGCATGCACAGAGACCAGAAGAAGCATTTAATTTCTGCTCCTGGCTCATCTCCACAGGAAAGCTCTGCACAAAATGCCTCCTTCAGCTGCAAGAATTTGCCCTCAGGATCCAGCTCTGCTCCAGGTTGCGTGGGTGGGTCGATAGTAAGCTTTTTGAGGAAAAAGTTTTCTGTTGCCTGAGGGAAAGATTTAGTCAAACATTTTTCCTTTTTGTATTAAAATGAATTATTTTCTTACCTGCATAGGATGTGTGTTTTACATTTCAATTTATTATGTTTTATAAGGAGTTTATGACTTACTGGTGTAGTGTTAGTAAAGTGAAGATAATTGACTTTGGTGTTGGATTTTGGATTTTATTTCTGTATCCTGTCTGAAATCTGTCACTGAACTGTTTCTGAGGTCAGCCTGCTGCTGTGTGAGCACAGGTGGCCACTGGAAGCTATAAGATTGCAGCTGAGCACTGGCTGTGTTTTTCTCTCTATGCAGAAGGGTTTATGAAAATACTGCTCCAATTACTCATCATGGGAGTTAGATGCAAGATTTCCTGTTCATAGAGATGCAAGGGTACTACCCGGAAACAGTTATTTGTATTCATAAATGCATGTTTCATGTGGGGGGTCCCAGAAGTTTTTATTCTTTTTGTTTGTTTTCAATATTGAAACACTGGTTCGAAGTTAAACTCAAGTAAAAATGCATTTGCACAACAAAGCCCTACATTAATGTGGAAGGCAGCTAAAATAACACTCATTAATAATTAATTCTATGTGGTTTTTGCTGCTTGCCAGAACTGCATTAATGTACTCTAGTCATAGTAATTTGATACCAAAATTTGACTGTGAATACCCAAACTGATGGTCATAATAAAGATTTCTGTCTGTTGACTGAATATAAGAGAACGTGAAGGATGTGGTTGGAGGATTCAGCAACTTTTCTGTGTATTTTCACAGCGTTTTCAATGTCATTGGAAATAAAGTTTTCATTCTGACTATAGCTATTTAACAACATAATTGCACTGGTACATTACAACTGCACAGTTCCAGGGCTAAGTTCCCTCTCCAAACACAAGTACTTTCATCTTCTTTTCAGTTACAGTGAAACTGGAGTAGCTATCAGCCAGGAATGTGACTAGATACAACCACAAATTCAAGCTAGTATTACAACAGATTTAATGCAACTGAGCAATAAAATCCATCATCTCGGTTGTGTGCTGGCTTTCCCTCACTTGTTGATGCATTCAATGTGCTGCTAAAACCCTCAATAAAATGTGTTTCATCACAAGATGGTTAAAGGATCTGTTACATGATGCTTCCATGCACGTATTTGTCCATGTGTCTCGAATGACTGTCTTGCTAATGTAGTAACCTTTTTCTTTTTACAGCTAACACTGTAATTGTGTCATGCATGGATACATGTTCATCAAATAACACCACTTTTCCACTTTGTACTTTTAATGATTCTTGCAAAAGATCAGTGCAACAAAGAAGAGAAAACCAGACTATTTTACTGAAGGCCATTGTAAATCATTCCAATTTTGGAAATATTCCATGTATTTGCCAGTCCTCCAGGAGGGAACAACAGTCCCCTACTAAACACACGGAGTGTGAATCCAGGAGAGATGCAAATGTTGATCATCAAGGATCAGGGTTAGTAGCTAAAAACGGTAAGTACGGGAGGAGAACTACTTAATTTTGAAGTAGTTAATTACAACATAAAAGACATGTTTTATTTGGCAGTTAAAAGAAAATTATAATATGCTGCCACTTCTCTGTAGTCTTTGCAAATCTACGAACAATGGGTTTTTTTATATTGTCTTTGCAAGGCTAGAAAATACAGGTTTTATGCCAGATTCTCAGTGGCATTTACTGCTGGCTGTCAGTGAAACATGTCAGTAGTTAACTGCCGATTTCACAGAGGATCTCACATAAAGTCAAGGGGGGTGGGGAAGGGTGGGGGAGTCATTACCTTCAGGGCCCTTTGTGTTGGTCTGGAAGGAGGGATGCTGTGAGAAAAGACTGCCCTATCCAGCAGCCACCTGGAATATTTGTTACAAATTTCACCTCTACCACCTGGCTTTCACAAACACTCTTATATCCATCTTTGTTCTTTTCATCTTGATAAATTTTCTAAAATATTTCCTTTGTTTTTAAAGAGGTGTAGTTTTTGATTCATTTTCATGCTGAATTTGCTTTTCAATATCATTGCAGAACTCTACATGTAGATTGCTGATATTATACAAAGATAGGTTGTGAGCAAGTACCTGAAGAGCAAATTCAAAGACTGTAACTATGCAGATGATTCAGATACAAGAAATAGCAGTTTTTGTGCTCGCAGTCCACGATATCCATAACTGTGTAGTATCAGAAATGGCCTTGCATGTTTCATGGAAGGCAACGCTGAGTAAGGACTGGTGCAGAAATACAAAGAGGAGTTCAGCAACACCCAAATCTTTTCAGAGCAGTGGCAGCACATTCCTTCTGTGCCATGTACACTTGCAAAGTATCTGCAGACTTTTGGGGAAGATGATGCCACCGAATTTTGCTTTCCTAATGTTGTCAGCAACAAGGGCGACAGGCCAAGTCCTGAGTATAAGAAATGCAGTTCTTTTCCAACTGTGTTATTTTCTTATTACAAAATAGGTACCGTAATAAGTATGGAAAATAAAAACAAATAACACAACAACAAAACAAAACACCAACAAGACATGGCCAAACTCTGTTCTCAGTTATACCTATAAAACTAACACTTTTGACAATGTCTCATCTCAGCAGGGTTTACCTACCATGTTTGTTAACGTGATGCAAGTCTCACAGCTTGTGTGCATTGAGGTGAATAAGGACCTTCTGCAACTAATAGCAGATAGACCAGATGTAATTTGCAAGGGAAATATATTTTGTATAGATAATACGCTTCAGATCTGTTCAGAATAATTTTACATGATATCCTTTTGTCCATTTTATCAAAATCAGTAATGTAAAATCATACTGTATGTTCTTGCAAATGAGACAGAATTTATTTTATTGTTCTTTCTAGAGTTGTCTGTCTACCATTTGATATTACAGTTTTGTTTCAATTTTTATTTCCAAAAGAAAAAGGCTCACTTGAAGTGAAAACAGAAGATGTTATTTATTTTTATAAATATTTGAATTTCACTACGGTTTCTAAGAAAGAAGAAGGAGAGCATAATACTTACTACTTGCTGGAAATCCACATCAACAATTCTATAGTCAGAGGAAGAACTGCAGCTGAAGAATACCTAAATCATTCCTGTCTAGTGGCAATGATGGAAGACCAAAATGACTGTATAAATATTTCACTGCAGCTGAAGTCTTATGTGGCATGTAAGTTACAAAAGAGAATCAGAATGGAAATCAAACCAGAAACAGTATCAATCTTGCAGTCTCTAGTAGGTAGTTATCTGCTTTCAGCAACCATTTGAAAATATTTAAGTATTTAATAAAAAAATAATACAATTTTGATCATCTCTTAGTAAAAGACCATCTTTAGGACCAACTGGCGGTTTTGATAGTGATTTAAAGCTGGTGTAGATTTAAATGTGATGTTTGTTTGTTTTTGTTTTTGTTTTTGTTTTTTTCAAGAAGCAACATAGCAAATTAAGTGTCTGTATTGGTTTTTTGCTCAGAGGTGACAGACTCCCAAATTGCATGGATGACAAAACCCAGAATTACTTTTTTTCCCTTTTCCCTCTCTGATAATGGCATAGCCTTGTTGTCTTGGAGGTAAATTTAAAAATTCCTGCTAACATAAGTAACAGAACAAGCAGGAGACAGGTTTGACTTTTCTTAGTTTCATACTGCAATATCCTACTATACAACCTTACTACACTACACTTAAAAGAGAAATCTTCAGCTGAACTAGGCTTATTTTTCCCAGAGGATAGCCTGTCAGCTTTTAAATTTCTCTTTGTGCTGCAGGAGTTTTTTGGCTGATTGCCTGACCATGGTCATGGCTTCCATCCTGTCTGTATGCAATGCTTGCCATCTGGGAATTGCTGAATTATTACAGTAATTTCGTTTCGTATGGCAAATGTGTTTTATGCTGTACCTTTGGTGGAAAAAAAATATATATTTGGGATTAGCTAAACCTATGTTAAATAAACCCAGGTAAAATCCTGGAGAAGAGAGGGTAGCTTAGTTTTTGTTTTGTTTTGTTTTGGTTTTGTTTTGTTTTGTTTTGTTTTGTTTTGGTTTGGTTTGGTTTGGTTTGGTTTGGTTTTAAATAAGTAGCTCTAGCTGTGAGAGGACTATAGTTTGTAACTTGCCCTGCTAACTTGTGTCAAAACTATGAGCTAACCTCCCTTTGCTAATGGTTATTTACCTGGGAAGTAGTTAAATTAACAATAGGAATTAACAGTACATCTTCTTTCTATTTACTTCAAAACAAAGCTGAAGAGGTGCTCAGGGCTTTTACTAAGCAAGGCTGATGTACAAGCTATTACAAGTCACTGCAAGATGTGGTAGAGTACTCTGTTTGAAAGGAGCATAAATGACTGTATAGAAGATATTTTTAGTTCTTAATTAGGAAGGATGAGCTATGCTTACCTCAAAGAGCCACAGGGCTATTGGCAGTTACCTCATGACTTCTCAGTGGAGCAGATGCACAAGGGAAGTTGTTGTAGGTTTAATTATACTATTCTAAGTCAAGGAAAGCAAAACAGTGGTTTGGCTATAGTCTCTAATTTAATTTTATATGAGTCATAGTAACCTAGTTGTTTTTAAGAATAGTTATTTGACAATGCTAAGGTACACAAGAGCATGCAGCTGCCAAAGGAGTTTGGACAACCATGGAGGAAAGTTCCCCGCACCCTTTGCCTGTGGTGTAGTCCTGGGTTGTACTGGTTCCTGAACTAGTTCAACCCCAGCAAGCCAATGCATTTCTGCAGCACCTGCTGTCCGAAAGAGCAGCCTGCCTCTTACACCCAGTCCCACAGTGACTCTCCCACAGGGCAGCTTCAGTTAAAAGAACTCCCCTGAGGGGTCCTCTTCTATTTATATTTGTATATGTACAATTTTATCCACTATATATGAAGGTGGAGAAGGAGGTTGAGGATGCCCGCATGGGCCAGTGCTGGACAGTGGACCAGATCCTTCTGTGCTCTATCCAAAGAGGGGATAAAGGTTACCCTTGTTCTACCTTAAATGTAAATGTTTGTCTTTGAAGGTTTTTATTCCTGCCAGCCTGAGTTGCATGTAAGTCTATACAAACAGAAAAAGTTTTCATTCACTTAGCTATGTATAACTATTTCTGACATTGGGGGATAGATACAGGTGAAAATGAAGCTAAATTCTAGGCAGGAAACTTAATTTCAAACAACAAAGAAGGGTGAAAGAAAAAGGCAGAAACTCTTCTGGTTTACATTTTTATCTGTGAGGATAGGCATAGTCCAAAAACCTACCAAGATCAAATGTTCTTCTTTTCTCTGCCATTTATTTCCTGCTTCTTTTTATTCTCTCCTATGTTTTATGGACAGATCCAATGTGTATGACGAAGATCATCTGGCTCACTATGATTCCAGTAGTTTTTGTGTTGACTATTTCAATCGTCATCTACAAAATAGTCCAAGAAAATGAACAAAACTGTAAGTAACAAAAAGCTGCATTAATTTCAATTTCCATACAATGAATAATGTGTTAATTTACAACAACAAAGCTGTTGCTTATTAATGTGGCTTACCACACCAGTATTTAATTGTAATATGGTAAAAGCTTCTCACAGAGAGACTGAAATACTCAGATGATTGATAATATCACCTCTTACCTCTGAATTATGGATACACATCCAAGCTTGTTGATGGTGAATGAAACATGGGGGTTTTTGACAGATGCTTGGTGGCCTGTGATCCTTAGTGATACGAACTTCTGGTTTCAGACTGATTCCAGTAAATAAAACAATTACAGTTGACACTTGTTGAGGGTCCCAAGCAGAAATGCCAATGACCAATATAAGCAGATTGAAATACCCTTTCCTTTCTTGAAGATGATTCATCTAGGTCAAGGCCAAGAAAAATTACAGGATAAATATGAGGACATATGTACTCAGCTGTCTGTCCTGAAAACTGGTTGTCTAAATTGAGCAGTGGTGTAATCCCGTATAGGTCAACCAAGCTGTGTCTTCCTAACCCCAGAGCTGAGATAAGCCCAGATAATGTTTCTTCTCTTTGCTGTTATTTCAGCAAAGAAAATATTGCTGTAATTTCTGAATCAGCACTTCTGACTATTCCAAGTGATTAAAACTTTGCTATGAAAGACCTCGTCCTTAGTTCAGAGACTAAAACAATTATTTCTACAAAATGCCTTCACCAGCCAAGGCAGGCTCTTCCTATGCAATTCACTTGGGATACAGGCTGAAACCAGATTTACGGTATTTCTTCTAGCAATATCCAGTGAAGAAAGCAACAATAAAAGTGTAGGAGTACCCCAAACTTGAGACTTCTGAGCAATCAAGATAAAGTCCTCTGCACAAAAAAAAAAAAACAAAAAAAAAAAAAAACAAAAAACCCTAAACCTAGAAAATTGACTGCTTGTCAGCTGCTGTTCCTTGTTTTTCATCCCAAATCACACATAGGTGGTACAGGGAGTACACCCCTTTCCATCAGTGTGGAAAGAGCAATACTTAACCTGTTACCTGAGATAGTAGCTCGTAGATGCTTCTCAAAGCAATTTCCTGAGACTTTCTGCCTGTGTCAGCCCCGAGTGGGCAGAATGCCTCCGGGCAACCAGCATTTAGTTGCTATTACCAGACATCCGTCTCTTCCCCTTGTAGTCCAGAGCTGCTGAATGGAGACCTTGGTCACAGGGGTAATAAAAAAATGATAAGCCATATCCATTCCCCTGATCATCTTTACTGTATCCACAGGCAGTTTTTTAATGAAAAAGCAATAGTAGTCTGGCTTTAATCATAACTGAACAGAAGAAAGAAGAGTGTCCCCACACAATGTTTCTGTGATTTTTTTTGCATAATGCAAATATTTTATGCATAGATTTTTAATGAATAAGCAAACTAGTTGCTTAAAATGACAAATCCGTGCCTCTGCACTGAGTGATTAAAGAAACTCCTTACTATATCATCTTGGTTAAAATACATGATGTTTTACTCATTGCTAGAACCAAATTCTGAGACCTATTTTATATGTATAAAAATCCCACAAACTGTAAATTAGGTCTTTGTAAGTAGGCTATTAGATGCTCTAAATTAAAGGAGTTTTATCTGTAATTTGAAAGCTACCTATAAATGCCATGAATATGATTTTCTGTGCTTTGAGTCATAACATCCCATTTTAAATGCAGAACTATTAGTAGTGATGATTAATGATTTTCTGTCTTTATTCTTAAGCATCAGTTTATTCAGAATTATGGACACAAGCATGGAGGAAAAGATGTCCTTTTGAGGCTTCTTATTACTGTTTTTCTCCTAGAATATGTTTTCTGTTAATATATGAATAGTGAATTATTAGTAAATATTATAAACAACATCAGTATGATACTGATAAAAAGACAAACACATAGAAATCAGATTTAAGGGTTGTATTCCTTATGTGTTTATATTATGGTGCAAGTACTGCTTTTTTCAGTGGTGCCCAAAGAACAGAGCAGAATATTATTAGATGCCTAAAGCAGCTGCTAAGAATTTTTCCAGTTATAATTAATTTTTTAGTTTTTCTCTTAATTTCTGAGCACCACTGAGAGCTGTTAAGAAATATGGAATTATTCATTTCCTCTTGAGACCTTGCAAGACATTCTGCTAGGCAGACTATGAGACTCTCTGAAACATTAATTATTTCCATGAGTGCGTAAAATAAAAGATCCAGATAAACTTATTGGAGGTTACAACCAACCCATGACAAAGGACCTAAATTAGAAATTAGTCTGTTTGCCTTTTCCATTCCACTCTTGTCTTACAACCACTTCTAGAGCTTCCTTTGACATTAACTGCTACAGTGCATGCTTAGGGCTTCAGCGCATTAGACCTCCACTGGCTAGTCATTAAAAAATCATAACTTAAATAATGCTAATTTAATGAATTTCTTAAAGCTGAAGTTTTCTAGACTCTTCAAAAGAAAAGGATAAAAATAAATTCTGTTATATAGGAGTGAGCCCTGAACTGCTGTCACTGTAGAACAGGACTAACCGTAACAGCTTCACAGTCATCTGAAAAACCCCACCTGAAGTACGGTATTAAGAGAACAGCAGATTAGAAAGACTGAGGATTTTATGAACTGGATGCTGAGGAACAGTGAAAAGTGTTCATCCTAGCTCCATCTTTCTTTCTCTGAGTGGTGCAGAGCTTGTGCTTGAATTGTGCTTCCAAAGATGGACACACCACACTTCCAAAAAATCTGTCAGCTTCCTAGGATGCCAGTACACTCCATCCTTGCCATTCCACTGTCAGCAGTGTGGAACCTGTACTGGAACATGTACTTTTTTTATAACCTTCCAAAATTTGTTCAAGTTACACAGTATAGAAAAGGGAACGAATAATTTGGAGGGGGCAAACCTGAATGGAATTTCCAGAAAATTTTATTCAGGAAAATATGAAACATCCACCCCTTGGTTTTCCTTATCACGGTATTTAAAAAACTTCCTGTTTTTTTCTTGGAACGTGTTCAACAGTTTTGTCTTTGTTTAAGGTCTCAGGACAGGACCCCAAGGAGCAGAATTTGTGCTCCCCCTCCCTATCCCTCAGTTCCCCTCCAGATGGGGAGATAAAAAAGGGAAGTCAGGAGTAAGATAGACTTTGCACTAATTGGAAGTTAATAAAAATAATGTATATTGTTTAACAGGGATCAGAAAACAAGGAGGGAGGTAGATATATACACAAAGATGGGGGGGAAAACAAAGTAAACCCAAGCTATACAAAACCCGATCTCGGGTGGTGCAGGATCGCTGTGCTCTCCCCCCTGGAGCACCCACCTCCTGCCTCTTTATCGAGTGTGAAGAGGAAGGGGAGGGAACAACCGCTTCCCCCTGGGACCCTCCGGGTCCTGTCCCGCCCCCAGGCCTCAAACCACAACCAGTTTAAAAGTAACAGGTTTACCTGCTTTGCTTCTACTCAGTGCTGTATGCATTTCTATAGCTGAAGATAACACATTTTGTTTAAAACAGATTGTAAACAGAGAGTAGCATCATCAGTTTCTGCTCTTCTAAGAAGAAAGGGTTCCAGACATGCAAGAACCATATCTGCTATTAAAATTCATCCTTTTCCTGGTAAGTAGCATAAAAGTAAAACAAAAACCTAACAAATCTTGAGGGGTGAGGAGGCTGAGAAAGACCTTTTAAGTCTTTCCTGTCAAGGAATGCTTCTGGTTTGTTTCAGAGTTACCTTGATCCTACACAAATTTGATCTGACTTATGGAAACATTTTTATATCATAAACAAATAATTCTGAGAATAAAACTGTAAGAAAACTAACATATATACGTGGGAATGTTTCTCCTCATCTTCCAAATGTGCTACATTAATGACTTTGCCTTTTTCAACTCTCTGATTTTTGGTCATGTTAAGTGCCACATTTGAGATTCAGCAGCTGAATGGTTTGTGTGTGTATGTAAAGTAGACAGACATGTACACACGTGTATGTAAGCTCTCTGCATTTGTGACTCTTGATAAAATCTGCTACCAAAGTATGGAATAGATATGGCTGTAGAAGGACTTGGAGAATGGCTCTGCTGGCCCTTTGTAGCTATTTCTAGGGAAAAAACAAATCCCACAAAATACAAATGTCTAGTTTCAGCTGGGAATTAAAATGTGGTCTTCTTGAGAGTGTAGTATATTTAGCACGGATAAACTAAATAGCATGGCTAAACTCAGATTTTTGGTTCCAGAAATTATGATTTGATAACAAATCTCTGTGTGAGGGGAAATTAGCAGTTGTAGTTGAGAGTGCCACTGAAGAGTCATATGATTTCATAAATTTAATGGATTCTGGTTTCATGAAGGGAGCTCTATCTTTAAAAAGATTAACATGAACATATAGAAAATCAGTTCTGAATGGCAAACCAACCTTCCTCCAAACCAGAAATAAGTACAAAGCCAGCAAATAAAAAAATGGTTTTAAATTGGGATAGACTTGGGTACTTCACTGTTTGGGTTGTTGGTTTTTCAAGACTAAGAGGAGACTCAGTAATTTCTCTCTACAACTCAGTAACTCATGGCATTTCAATTTTACCTAGAAAAGAGTGAATAGCTCCTTGTCTGCCTGAACCCTCCTGCGAGTACAATTTATGCTCCTCGCTTTTAAAACACTGGCTACCTCTGAGATATATTTATGAGCTCATTATTTTCATCCTGCAGGAAAGGAATTATATTTCTGACACCTTCTGTCTTAAGTAGCTTCACTCATGCCATACCTGTTTTATCAGCATGTTCACAATGGCATTTTTAATGTTGTTTATATCCAGAGACATTTTGACGATGGAGTTTTATGGAAAAGCAAATCTAGTTTTACTGGATTTTACTGAGAAGAATAGGAATCCCTTATTGGCCTGTCATTCTTACTTTGATGTTCCTCCCAGTTCAGCCTATATATTTAACCAGAAGGATGCTTAGTTGTATGACCTACTATAATGGGCTTTATTTTAATATGAAATTCCTTGATTTCACACACCATAATCGCAGTCAGTTCAATCCATTTTCTAATTTGTGCCAATATAATTTAAAGTGGAATCAAACTCATATGAAAAGAGTTCATCCTTTCCACACCTGCCAAGTTCAAGATTTGCTACTGTGATAATGGATTATAAATAGCTATAGATGACTTGGACAGCCCTTGATAATATTTTCACAATCATTAGTGCAGAGCTTGGAGTCTCGGGACAAAACATTGAGATCCACTGAAGACAGTAAAGCCTCCCTGGAAACACCCTAATGAGACTAAATAATTATATATATCTGAGAGGATGTGACAGTATCTCATACAGATGAAAAGATGTATAGGTATTACTAAAAGGTTATTCCAAATTCAGAAAGGATAAGGGAAGAAAAGGAAAACTATACTTTGAGAATGAGAATGATTTCCTAGGAAATCATTCCTCAGGAATTTACTGCCTTAATGTCACTGTGGTCCTACAAAAAGATAATTTACATCATGGATGCTAGTTTTGTGAAAATGTTAGTGGCTCTATGCCCATGAATCATTACCATTAAGTCCAGTGGCCAGAGGAAAGGAGAAAAATGTCTAGTATTTTCTCTGGGGTAGGCTTACAGTTACAGCCTTCCAAATTCATGGAAATACAAAGGACTAAGCACACACAGTGAGGATAGGGGAGCTTTAAATCATTCTGGTCATAAATGTTGACTAAACATTGTGCTGTTAAGCCAAAACGTATGCATTGGAGTGTGGGCTGTACAGAGCATGTTTTCTAGACTTTGGATCTGGTCTTGCCATTGCTTTTATGTAAAATGTCCCTTAAGTGGTACAAACTGACAAAACACAGTTGCTATTAAATGCA